AAGTTTTATTTGTCTGCGGATTTGTATTTTTAGTTATTTTTTATGCAACGTTTAATGCAATTTTATCGTCGTGTATAAAACAATATTTTTTTCCATTTCCATAGAAATTATTATTTTAAGGAATTTATTACGAGTAGAAAGAATATTGTGCTGGGTTGGCGTTGGTTTTTATGTAATTTACAAATAAATAAAGCTGTCTCTTTAGTTGTCAGTTTTGAGTCAATATTTTTTAATTCTCTTTCGTGTCGATTGCTGATTGAATTGGAGTCAAAAATGGCTCAAAACGAAATAAGTAAATTACCAACAGATATTCAAGCTGAGGCGACAAACGCCATATCCAAACTACTTTAATACAATATATCTTCGAATACAAAAATTTTCAAAAATGGAAGCAATTAAAAAACGTGCGAGAAGAAATAAAGTTTTTAACCAATCCTCGCTGTTAAAGTATCATTTAATCTACCCATGCGGTTAAAGTATTATTTTATGTACTATTTTTGATAGATATGACAATTTTAACATTTGCTATGGAAAAAAAGATTTTTCTCTGACTATTCTCTGACTTTTGAGTAATTAAATCGTTTTCTTATTATACATAATATATCTTTTGCTTTTTTACTTATTCTTTGATTGATCTTGAATTATTGGTATATGAACGTACAGGGTGGGTCAAATTCGACGCTTTTAAATGGAAACACCCTTTTCTATAGGAGATCTAAAACTAATATCGGTGTCTGGAGCTCAATTTTTGTCAAAAACATGATGGTGAAAACCGCATATCGATATCTGTTATCGTTTCGGAGTTACGGGGTGTTTTTCAAAAATATGCATTTTTAACAAATCGCTGTAACTCTTTTGCTATGGAAAATTTTGTATTTTTATGAAAACATTTCCAAAGCACCTTTTTACGTAGAATTTAATGGTTTAAGTATAATTTTTCTAAAATTAATATTTTAAGAATTATCAACAAAAAATTTGATTTTTTATATGGGACACCCTGTATATTTTTAATTTATTGAAAAGAATTTAAAATTACCTTTCCAAAAATATAACATACTTAATATTTTGCTCGATTCCTCTTCGAGATATAGAGTATATAAAAATTCGCCCGCTTTAAATAAGTAGACTTTGAACGGCACCGGCTGTAATGCAAAAAAATTCTAGCTGTTCATCAATTAAAACGAAAATAATATTTGCTATGAGAGATGCAGAATTTTATAACAATTTAAAACATATTTAACCAACATCAACACATTTAAACTATATCTAATAACATTAAAAATAAATAGCAAACCAAGACATGAGATTTTGCTATAGGTGTTCAACATATCGACCGTCTTCTGTTATGGACAGACGGGGCAGTTTTTGAACATTTCTCGCGAAATGCATTAACTCAGTGGGGGTGAAAGATACCCTCTCACAACTGCTAAGTATTTCTAGACTATACGGAAGAATAAGGAACCTTTATTCTTTCGCAAATATATCAATAGGATTAGATCCATGGGCACTAAGTCAGGCGGCCTCGACGGCCAACGGCTGGGATCTTGGTTAGCTATTCAAATATTCTTGAAATTGGCTGCAAAAATTTGCTAATAACTTCAGCGTTCAGAGCCGGTGCGTCGTCTTGCTGAAAAAATATGTTTTCGAGTTCCATTAAGGGCATATCATCAATAAGGGGTCCAAAGCCTACTAGTTAAAAGTGGCGAACTTTTAAAAATTCTGTATTTCGAAGAGGATTATAATAAAATATCAAGTGTGCTATATTTTTGGAAAGGTAATTTTAAATTCTTTTCAGTTGATTAAAAATATGGAGGATGTCCCAAATAAAAAATCAATTTTTCTGTTGATAACTCTTAAATTATTAATTTTAAAAAAATTATACTTAAACCATTAAATTCTACGTAAAAAGGTGCTTTGGAAATGTTTTCATAGAAATACAAAATTTTCCATAGCAAAAAAGTTACAGCGATTTGTTAAAAATGCACAGTTTTGAAAAATACCCCGTAACTCCGAAACGGTAACAGATATTGATGTGCGGTTTTCACCATATCATGTTTTTGATGAAAATTGAGCTCCAGACACCGATATTAGTTTTCGTCTATCTCCTATAGAAAAGTTTCCATTTAAAAGCGTCGAATTTGACCCACCCTGTACATTGGTTTTCTGCTTGTGTAGCCCATTTTCTGTCTTTTTGTCGCCCCCACGAAACGTAAGTCAACTTGGATGGTTTTTTAACATCAAAGTAAGTAGGCCGGCTTACAACTTACTTGGATGCTACAAAGCCGCCCAACTAGACTTTCATAAAATAGTTGATACTATACAAACGGCGAAAAAGTGAGACACGTGCGGCATCTATACAGGGTGAATCTTAAATAAGTGCAAATATTTTTAGGGTATATTTTGACCCCTAAAATACGATTATGAGTTAATTGAAAATTTGGAAATTTTTGAAAAAAATTCCGAAATGTTTGTACTTCCTTAAAAAAACTCTAATCTCTAGCTTTAAATATACTAAATTAATTTTGTACCGGTTCTCAGTTTTTGGATCAACTCAGTAATGTTTAAAAAAAAATAACTTTTATTTTGTAGATTTTCTTTTATTGGCGAAAAAAACAGAAATCTTTTCAAGAAATGGATCAAAATTACTTCTATTTTATAATTTTCAATCTTTTTAACGTATTTGTCTCTCATTCGAAACCAATTCCACGAAAAATAATTAATTAAGCTCGTTACGTGACGGTGTAGACCAGGTATTTTAATTAACTCTACATCCACGCAGGTATTTAACACTTAACCTATACTTATACGCGGCAGAAAGGTGATTCTGAAATATTGTTTCAGTTTATTTTTAAAGAGAGAATTAATATTACCACAATTGATTTAACGAAATATGACTTCAACTATCTGAAACATTAAAAATAAAAATTACTTTGTTATACAGGGTGTCCCAAATTCGAGGGGGCCATTGGGATTCCGGAAATTATACGAAATACGAAAAAGGTCAAATTATGCTAAGGTTTTGCAATTTTATGTCCAATTAAATGATGGTTATATTATTAAATAATATAATTGAAAAATAATTATATTTATTTTTCTGTATAATTTTTTATATGGTACAGGGTGGGCCACTGAAAACTTACAATGGCTATAATTTTTAAACCAAAAAAGATATCAAAAAAAATAAAAAATACCGTTTCTATAATATCGAGGGGGAATACATATGACATATTTTTCGAACCCCCCTACCTACCCCTAAGACGGCACCCCTACTTACTTGAAAATCTTAAATGGCAACACCCCACTTGTGGAGCCTTTTTGGAAGGCCCATGAAAAATGCTAAACGATGATCATAAAGCTTTTAGGGCAAAAAACTTTTTTGAAAAACTACCCCTTACACGAAAAATTAGGTGGACATTAATGAAAAAAGTGATTTTTTCAGCATAAGTTACAAATTGGGACCCAGCTAAATGAGGTATTTTTCAAACCACCCCAACCCACCTCTAGGTGCCACCCCCTCACTTCTAACCTCAAGATAGCGATACCCCACTTGTGACACCTCTTTGGAAAGCGTATAAAAAATGCTGAACGACTGTTATAAAAAAGAACGAAAAAAATGGAGCTCAAAAAAACAGAGTATGAATTATTTTTGTATTCATGTACCATTTTGAAAAAAAAACTGGTACAAAAAATTTTATTATAACTCTTAATGAAGACCTCATACACCTTCAGCAAGATGGAGCCCCTCCGCATTATTCTATTGTCACAAGGCGGTGGTTGGATAAATATTATCCAAGGCAATGGATTGGCAGAAGGGGTCCAATGGAGTAGCCGCCAAGGTCACCTGACCTCACTCCTTTAGACTTTTTCTTGTGGGGTTACACTAAATCCATAGTCTACACGACAAAACCAGGTTCGTTGCAAAAATTGCGGTAGAGGAGAACTGCCCAAGCAGCATTTGGACGTCGGGACAACGTTGTGTCACGCGACCAAACGTCGGGGCGCAACGTCGGCACAACCTCGTGCCAACCCTAGTCTGCACTAGTTTGGAGAATAATTTTTGGGTCGAAACGACGTTGGATACCGACGTTGGCTAGAAGCCTAATTTAGTACAAACTGCAACGTTGTTTAAAATCTTAATTCACAGAAATACAAAACTAATATGGCGTCTAAGTCGCGTTTTATCCTAAATTGGGATAATTATAGTAAAAATATTATTTTTATGATTTAGTTAGAGACATATGTCAGATGGCAGTGAAGGAAAACAAAACAAAAGTATTTAAGTGTGGAGGATGTTTGAAGATCATAATTATTGAAACACTTTAATCGACTCTGTAACTCGTTACCCAAGGCAAAAAAGTTAAACGCAAACAACTTTATTGATAAATGTATTGTTTTTACTTTGAAAAATACTAATGGGCCTTAAAATTAAAGAAGTTTTAAAAATTTTCTTGAATTTTTTTTTAGTAAAATGAGAATAATTTATTCACAGTCGAAAAAATTGTTTCCGCGTGTTTTTTAGGGTCAAATATTTCAAGTTAATGTATTCAAAAAGCAGGAATTGCTATTTTAGGAACGAAACATTTTCTTATTTAACAACATGGCGGCTTTCACTTTGTTGTTTTGGAGATTAAGATGGAGTAGTTCGAGTAGCCGCATACTGGACTAATAAAGTCGCAGTTCGGCCTACACATAGTATACTAGTCGCAAGATTGCCTAATTTAGTCATCCTAGAGTCTAGCATGTGCCGCCCTCTATAATATAAATAAACGAGGGAGTGGATAAACTATCGGTAATATATGTCGATGTATATTTAAATTTAGTTTTATATGTACCTTTCTTATGTCCCATTTTAATTAAGTTTTTTTATAAAAACAAAAACAGCACTGAACTGAAGAATTTTGGTTTTTCGGGTTATTAGGCCGTCGTCGGTTAGAATTGCTTCCTAACGTTTCGCTAGCACGAGTGGCTAGCATCTTCAGAGGTGTGTTTGCTCCGATTGCTCACACTAGACTGATGCCTCCGCGTCGGCGTAGCGCGTATTTATGCGTCGGCGGAGGGGGCGTGGCTTGTTCGGGTGGTAGTTCTTCCGGAACTGGTCTACTTCTCTGTGCTGCTACTTTGGTCCTAGATATAGCTGGATGCCAAATTCTGTTAAGGTAGAAAGTTTCTTCCTTCCTGTTGAAATTATTTGGATGTTTGTGAATTTCAACAGCTTCCCTGACCAGACGAGGATGATATCCAGATGTTGTGGCAATGACTTGGGTGTCTTCGAATTGGATTTTGTGATCACCATCTCTTAGAGCATGTTCTGCTACGGCTGACTTCTCTGTTTGCCCTAATCTGCAGTTTCTCTTGTGTTCCGTAAGTCTCGTTCCTACTGAGCGTTTGGTAGTTCCAATATATACGCTACCGCAGGAACAAGGTATACGGTAGATCCCTGCAGAGGATAATGGTTCTCTTTTGTCTTTTGCTGGTCTTAAGCAGTCCCTTATTTTTCGGGTAGGTTTGTATATGGTTTTGATGTTATGCTTCTTGAGAACTTTACCAATCCTATCGGTGACCTGGGAAACATATGGAAGGAAGGCCTTATTAATGATGTTTTCCTGTTCATTGGCGTCAGGTCTCCTCTGCCTAGGTGCCAGCGCCGCCTTTATTTCTCTGTCATTATAGCCATTGGCAAGAAAGGCTTTATTTAAATGACTTAGTTCCTCTTGGATGTGTTCATTAGCACAGATACGTCTTGCCCTATTTGCTAATGTTCCGATAATCCCCTGTTTTTGGCTTGGATGGTGATTTGATAGTTTGTGTAAGTACCGGTCTGTATGAGTGGGTTTTCGATACACGGTGTGATCCAAAAGGTCGCCATTTCTCTTGACAAGCACATCGAGGAAGGCCAGTTGGTTGTTTACTTCGGTTTCCATGGTAAATTTTATGCTCGGGCTCTGCGAATTAAGGTGATGAAGGAAGTCATCTAGGCTGTCACGTCCATGTTTCCAAACCACAAATGTATCGTCCACATAACGAAACCATACAGCGGGCTTCAGAACGGATGACTCTAGCGCTTTTTCTTCAAATCTCTCCATAAAGAAATTAGCAATTATTGGGCTGATTGGGCTACCCATTGCGACACCTTCTGTTTGTTCGTAGTAATTGCCGTTCCATAAGAAATAGCTACCAGTCAGACACACTCGGAAGAGCTCCGCGATGTCAGGTGGGAATGATTCCTTGATTAGATCCATTGACTCGCCTAGGGGTACTCTCGTGAATAGAGATACCACATCGAAGCTTACCATGATGTCAGATGGTTCCAGTTTTATATCTTTTAGCTTTTGGACGAAATGCGTTGAGTCCTTCACATAAGAGTTTGTGTTGCCGACTTTCGGTTGTAGGATCGTAGTCAAGTATTTAGCTAAGTTGTAAGTAGGCGATCCTGGAGCACTCACTATCGGTCTAAGTGGGACACTAGCTTTATGAATTTTTGGTAGTCCATAAAGGCGTGGTGGTTGAGCTTCCGAGTTAATTAATTTTGATTTCAGATGTTCCGGGAGTGAGGAGGCCTTGATGAGTCTGTTGGTGTTTCTGACAATTAAGGCAGTAGGATCCTTCTTCAGTAACTTATAAGTCTGGGGCTCCAGTAGATCCTCGATTTTGGACCTATAATCCTCAGACTTCATTACTACCGTAGCATTCCCCTTGTCTGCCGGTAAGACCAGAATGTCCTTGTCAGCATTCAGCGATTTTAGAGCCTGATGTTCTTCCCTAGACAGATTACTTTTTGGAGCCTTAGCAGTTCTCAATATGTTGACCGTTTCAAATCGGATTTCGTCTGCGATACTGTTAGGAAGGTTACGTATGGCAGCTTCTGTTCCGGCAATAATGTCTTCCACTGGAACCACTTTCGGTGTTATGGCAAAGTTTCCTCCCTTCGCTAATAATGTTACTTCTGATGTCGTAAGGGTCTTATCTGTGAGATTCACCACGGTTCGAGCAGGTTCAAGAGATATCCTATATTCCGGCTTGGTTTTTGGTTGCAGTTTTTCATATTTGATCTTCTGGCGAGCTGATGTTCTTTCCAATTCATTTTGCATATTTTGGTATGTTATTCCGTCAATCTTGTCCCAGTCTACAGGTTGCATGTTGGCGGTAAGGATATAAAATAGGTCGATCAATTCCCTGTCTACCTTTGCTAAGTCTCGTCTAGATGTATGAATCCTCTCACGAAGAAAATTTTTCTCCATCCTGGTGTAAAGGCGATTTGCCTGAGTAGATGAGAATACCCTCTTCATTTTGAGAAATCCTGGTATTACGTTTTGGTCTCGGCAGCGGCACAGAAAAGCAAGCGATGATAGCAAGTGAGCTTTTCGCTTCCGTGTCTTGTCCAGGCGTTGGTACAATCTGAATAGCTCCTCCCCGTAGAGCCGTTTAATGTAGTAGTTTAGGCTTTCGCGGCCATCGTTTGAAGAATTTTGGTTTTTCGGGTTATTAGGCCGTCGTCGGTTAGAATTGCTTCCTAACGTTTCGCTAGCACGAGTGGCTAGCATCTTCAGAGGTGTGTTTGCTCCGATTGCTCACACTAGACTGATGCCTCCGCGTCGGCGTAGCGCGTATTTATGCGTCGGCGGAGGGGGCGTGGCTTGTTCGGGTGGTAGTTCTTCCGGAACTGGTCTACTTCTCTGTGCTGCTACTTTGGTCCTAGATATAGTGGATGCCAAATTCTGTTAAGGTAGAAAGTTTCTTCCTTCCTGTTGAAATTATTTGGATGTTTGTGAATTTCAACAGCTTCCTGACCAGACGAGGATGATATCCAGATGTTGTGGCAATGACTTGGGTGTCTTCGAATTGGATTTTGTGATCACCATCTCTTAGAGCATGTTCTGCTACGGCTGACTTCTCTGTTTGCCCTAATCTGCAGTTTCTCTTGTGTTCCGTAAGTCTCGTTCCTACTGAGCGTTTGGTAGTTCCAATATATACGCTACCGCAGGAACAAGGTATACGGTAGATCCCTGCAGAGGATAATGGTTCTCTTTTGTCTTTTGCTTTTGAAAAGAGTACCTCCAGTACTAAGAGTTTACAAATAAGAAAAGAGTTAATAAAAAGACAAAATAAACGTTTAAAGTTTACAAAAAAAATAATAACTTATATTAAAAGTTTCGTATAACCCATACCCGGCCAAAAAAGAGCCACTTCAAACCCCAAATAACGACCTAAGAACGTAAATAAACCGCTCCCCAAAAAATTTACTCCTCCATGAATATTTTAGCCTGCATGGCCTTATTTTATTTTTTGTCGGACTCGCTGCCGGAGACTTTCCACCTTTGAAAAACTCTTTTGCCGGTACGGAGCCCCTGGGGCTCTCTCTCTGCGTCCCGGCGAAGTTAAGGTAAAGTATAATAGTGATAATAAAGGTAAAAGGGAATAAAAGTTGGAATGTAATTAAGTTAGGCGGCGGGAAGGTGTGAAACGGTGGACAAGGGCCGGCCTTTGAGGTCGGCCGTTCCCGAGGGACGGCGACGACACGGCCAGACTTAATTAAAGAGTTGCTATAGTTACTAATAGCCGCGGTCAGATGACCTGTACTTAGACGCACCTTTGCAGCTTCCGGTCAAAGGGCTGGGACGTGGCGGAGTTAAGCCCTTGGTGAAGGAGTAAATGGAGTTGGAAAGGGACGATTATTAAATTTCGGGAATTTTCTAGGATACCCAAATTATAATTTGGTGCTTTTTGAAAGCGGCTAGATCAGTTTTAGAAGACTTTTTAGATGTCAATATTGTTGTAACAGTCAAATCAGAGAATAGGTACATTAAAGAAATGCTAACTTCATGTTAAAAAATGGAAACAGACGCCACCTAGTGTCGCCTGGCAGTACTAGCTAAATTGAGGGGAATTGGAGGGGCGGGGCTTAAAAGAGGGGAAATTTAAAAAATATTTTTATAAGTATCACTGACTTACTGTTTAAAGTTAATAAACATATTTTTATTACTTTAATATAATTTAATGTATTAAAAATATGTCTATTAACTTTACACAGCAAATCAATGATATTATTAAAGGCTTATTATTTTCAGAGAAAATTCATAGTAAATAAATTACACATTAGTAAACAATATCATTTATTTTTAGAGCTGCGATTTATATTACAATAATATTGAAATATATATATTTTTTAACAATGAAAAAGAATATCCCGGAACCTGAAAAAGAAAGATGATCAATTAATGACTTAAATTAGTTCAAAATACATTTTGGAAATAACTAGTGAATTGGAAAGATAAACATACTATTAAAAAGACATTTTAGTAGTATATTATCATCTATTTACTGATAATACATAAGTATATAATAGGTAAATAACATGCATAAGGCATTATGATACAACTACCTGTATCATGATAACACACTAATATCACAAAAAATATATGCTAATTTAAATTCCTTTAATGATCTAATGAAACACTATCTAGCCTCAATGCATGCCATTCCAAAGGCAAAAAAAACTGTTATACCACATAAATATAATATATAATAAATATAAGCTGAATAAAACATAAACCAAGCCAATGTGCGTAAACAACCAAAAAATGCATCAAAAAATACTTTTATCAGATCATACCCTTGGATATATTATGTATTTTATATATCGCACATCCCGTTCAAAAGTTTACTAACTCAAAATAGAGAATATAGAGAACATTGTCAGGAGAAGTAAAAGAAAATTTAAGTTAAGGCAATATGCTCCTTTTTGCATATTAATGGCCAAATAATATAATGTTGATTTAATAAAATTTTATTGGCATTCTTCTGAGGTATAAATCAGATTAAAAAGGGCATTGTTTTTGTAATAATTGTTTGTTTTGTAAACATTTTTTGAAGACAATACAGTTTTGAACGGGCTGTGCGATATAAACAAGGATCTTACTATTATTTGAGGTTAGAAAGTATTTAAATAATATAAAACATAATCAAAATCATTTAAATCATAAATCATATCATTATAGAAGTACTTACGTGTTTTGATATTATTATCAGGAAATAATACGTTTAGTTAAACAGGTACGCTGCCAGGCAAGTTCTATCGGCGGGTCTTTGCAAAAGTTGAAATCTAAAAATACAAAAATACGTTTACATCTTAGTTGTATTTACGAATAAAGTATTTGTGTATAATTTCTGACTTACCAGTTAACTGAATAATCGCATTAAATACATCCAAATGATAATTTAATATTGTAAAAAAGCAAAATTGTTTTAAATCACTTGCCAGGACAGCCCGGCCAGCTTCTTTGTTGATGATTTAAGCAATGTGAGTGACAAAGAAAGCCAATGCCTGGCAGATGTTGCTTTCTTTGTCCTTGGTCCTAGCACGTTTAAATTTGACTGTTGCCTGTTTTCCCATACAAGTGACACCACCGTGAGTCAAATTTTCTCGCAACGACCTCTGTGTGCTAGCTCATAAATTATCGCAAATAACTATTATTTTTGCATCATGTTTACTATAATTTTATTGTTAAATACAAGGTTAAATATTATTTTATTTAAATTTTACGATTATGCAACCTGATATACACCGCGATATTATACATATATTGTCACTGATGCCGACCAGCAGTAGGCTTTTTGTCCATCTCTCTATATCTTTGATCATCACTTTTGTCCGTCACTTGTCACTGTCAGATCAAATCAGATGTTTTTGGATTTATTTGTCCTTTGTTTTGGTTATTGAACATTTATAATTATCAGATAAAATTTCGTAGTTAAATTGGTTATTTTTGATGTGGATCGCAGTGTGCAATTCGTTCATTTGATTGTGGAATTTCTGAGTTTAGTTCGTTCATTGACCGGATATGAAATATGGCTGTTAGAAAATATTCTAAAACATCATTTTTTATTTATGCCTTTTTGTGAGTTGGACTAGTCAAGATATATAGTTCTCTATCTATATCCTAGAAGGACATTTCCGGTTGAAATCTGATTTTGTGAAGGAAATCGAATCCTTGCGTATCGTCGTGGAGAAGTGGCTGCCGTTTCGTGAAGCATTCCCTGTTGGCGAATAGCAGGTCTTCGTAAAGAAGGATTAAGGCTTCCGAAACACCTTTGGTCAGAGACGTGGTTGGATTTTGATGATTTTATGGACCGCCGACCAATTTCCGCAATGGGATTAAAATAGCCTAATTTTCCGACTGATATTCCGATTCCACGTGCCCAAGAAGTCCCCGCATAGTTCCAAGGTATGCTATAATTCTTCTGCCTATTCTAAGTCAATGCTCAACTGATTTTTGTTCATATTGTTGTCTGGTTTTCGACTTTTCCACGCCCACGTGGTGTAGAAAGATTAGTTGAGTGTTATCTTTCTTAAGTCTTATTTGGTTGTTCGTAATTGTAGAGCAAGAAGACCGATCCAGACCGTACAGCACAGAACAGTCCAGAATTCCATCCGTTCCTGTTGCCCGTGTGTGTAGAGTTACCCGTTGGACATCATAAACCCTCGTTGAGGTAAAGTTCAGATTTGATTAGTCCTTCTTTATTACCTTTATTAACTCCTACACGTTGTGCTAGTCCCTGTTCTATAATTGAGGCTCTTTTCTAAGACAACCAATATTATTTAGGGTTTTTTATGTTCACCTTTTGAAGTCCTACACCTGCCTGTGCATCTGCTGAACTGACAGTACCCCGAGCTGCTGTACACCGCCGTAGCAACCCTGCTGTACCATACGCCGTAGCTCAGCCGGAGGAAGTTTTCAAGTACAATCGAATAGAGTAAGACTGTACAATTTTAGTTTAGATTAGTATAATATAGATTTCATTTATGTAAACCACCCTGTTTGTATCTAGTACTAAGTTAGATAAGGGGGTTTGACGTCAGAGATTTAGTTATTTCGTTTGATTTAAATTCTAATTTCTTTTCTCACCATTCAATTTACTTATCTTAACATATTTCATTTTACATTTAATTCATTTTTTTTATATATAAACTTTTTCATATTTTAATAAATTGCTTAAATATTTTTACTAGTATTATTTACAGTCTAGTCTCATAGTTAAGTTAGAGTCACTTAAGTTTAACGAATTATAGTAATATTTGAAGTTCATGGTAGTTGCACTCAACAGTTCGAGGTTAGTGTTGAAGTCTACTTAATAGTCACATCTTTTATGCCGAGTTTATAGAGTCTAATCTCGTGGCGCCCTTTTATTAATATCTTTGAACCCCGACCACCCGGCTGTTAAAATTAAAAATCTAGTGGCCTCTATGCAACTCAATTACCAATTGAGGAAACTTGTGTTTTATTGAACT